CAGGAGAGGATTTCTTTGTTTTACTCGGCATTTTCCCATACAGAAAAGGAACATCTGTTGCGATGCTTTGCCGCGCTCCTGAGCAGAGCTAGACGTGGATTATATCCCACTACCAGAGAGGCAACTGGCCCACCCGATCCAACAGTCGCTACTGCCCGGGGTGCTCCCCTCTGCTTCCCGTCGCGCTGCTGGCAAAGAGAGCAGGAGCCTGCTCCATGGTGGGACTGCTCCATTCACAAAGGAATACGCTTATGCTGGCAGGGTCTGAGAGTCCTTCGTGCATTGGAGCTGATTGAAAGTTTGCCCCCCAGATCAAAAGTTTGCTTTTGTTTTCAGCCCAAGACTGATTTTTTGCATGTGTTCCCCTTTCCCCCCACAAATGTGGGCTTTCCTGCAGAAAACCGAATATCCAAAATGTTGTGTGAGGTGCAAGGGCTATTATGCCGCATGGGGGAATAGCATGGGAGTATTTTCTCCGCAGGCCAGATGTCCTAGATTTCCCACCGGGCATCAAGACTGTGGTCTACACTTCTTCCCCTATAGTCTACACTTCTTCCAACCTTGTCTGATGCATTGTTGGAAAACTTGTCCAAGCAGGAAGGAGACTCTGGCCAGAGAGACCTGAGCAATGGTTCCCAGGAAAGGCTGCAGCAGCATTTCCGACTAAGAACACATTAAGGTGTACAAACCTCTGCACAGCCCAGCACCCACATATGTGACAGCAAAGACATGCTACCACTGACTCCAAAGAGGCTCCGCACAGGGGCTCTGAATGACACATGCAGGTCACTTCCCTTGACTTCTCCAAATCCTGCCCAGATCTTTTCGGAAGAGAGTCAGTGGCACCTTGTCTTCTTGCAGAGGGATCAGTAGAGGGGGTTTCTTGCAGAGCTGGGGGCTGGGAGGACACCCAGTCATCGAGTGGGCATTCCCTGGCAGTCTGGGAAGTAGCTTGTCTCCCCAGGAGCTGGGTGTCTCCACCCTGCCCCTGCTGTGTGTCTGTTCTGCCGGCATTGCAGGAGAGGGAAGGCAGGTGTCTGGTAAGCACCTGGCTTTGGTTAAACTCTCTGGGTCTAATTGTGCTATTTTTGTCTAGGAACATGCTCTTCTCACAGCCCTGCAGGCAGTCTACTGAGCTGCAAAGCTAAACTGAATCATGTCTCATTTTTCAAGGAGACAAAGCATTCAAGGGCTGGCACAATAACCGTGCAGAGGCTCCAGAGAGACAGCTTGAGAACAGGATTTCTTGTCCCCTTCGATGCCCAGGATGGAGTGTGGCCCAACAGGGGGACAAGCAGCTGCCCAGCTAGACGGACCCTCTGCAGAGAACTCCTGGAACAGACATGGGGTCTCTGAGGTGGAGACCCCAGCCCAGCCTGAGATGCAGCCTCAGGTACACCCCCAAACCTTGAAGAAAGAGGCTGTTTCAAAGATGTTGAGTATCTGCTGCTCCCACTGGGAATTGATGGCACTCAGCACTGCTAAAGCAAGTTCACCAACAGAGGTAGGGCCTTACCTTTTGCCACCCAAGTGAAATTGGTGACCTGACTGTCTTAGGTCAGCACAGTCTGGTCACCTGGTGCTGGCTCTGCCTTCTCATTTCCACACTCCAAAAAGATCCTAACAAAGCATTAGAGCTGGCTCTGGTATTCGGTACCTGTGTAAGCCAAGGCTGTAGCTGCCTCCTGAGAGTAGCACGGAGTGGTCATGGTGGTGGGAGGACAGGGTGCCAGAGTGATGGGGAATGGGAAGGACTGCACGAGGTCATTGCCATCTAAAAACAGCTTCTGAGGGCACATGTGCAGACACACACACTGCACATGTGCACACATGCTCTTCCCTGTCTCTGCCCATGGCCCTCATGGGAAGCCCTTAGCATTAGTGGCTGGAGAGCAGGTCGGCTTGGCTTGGGGTGATATCCCCAGGCTCTTGGGGTCGTTGGCTGCCAAACCCAGACCTTGGCTCAGTAAAGTTCCCACGTCCGCTCTGGAAAGGACCTTGTGGAAGGGCAGAAGGCGGCAGAGAGCTGGTCAGCCCAGCTGACACTGGGAGTAGCTAGGATCTCGCTTGTCTTCTCTGCCTTCAGAGCAGGGGTTCTTCTATCACCTCTTTTCTGCTGGCTCGTGGCAGCCAACTTGATCTAGCCTCCCCCCCCGACCACCCCCGCTCCCCCCCCACAACACTCCTTTCCCTCTGCCGCTCAGGCTATGCATTAATTGAAATGCCTAATGAGGTCCCAGGGGGCTCCCGCAGAGACAGAGCTAATTAGGGGTGAACCCAACTAACGGTGGGAAGTGAAACAGAGGCTCCTGTGAACCTGCCTTTTGTGAGCGGCTATTGGGGGAGGAAGGCACCAGATGTCCTGCTTCCTCGCTCTGTGCGCCAGGGACGGGCCGGCGCTTCCCGGGCCCCAGCTTGCCTGCCAAAGCAGCTGGTGCAGAGGCAGAGGCTACACTTAATACATGTTAATTAGCATCATTAAATTCTTCCATTTGCTAATTGTTTCTCCTTTTGATCCTTTATTCTGACCAGATTAGCCGTGGGGTGAAGGAACAGTGTGGAAGGGGGTTGGGGGGATATACTCCCTGACAGGGTGAAGACTTCATTATTCTCTCATAAAGGGTCTTAGACCAGGACCCTCAGCTTTGAAGGGCCCAGCAACTTGCTAGCCACTCGCCAGCCAGCCCTCAGCTCTGCTTCTGTCCACAGGGCCCTTGGGTTTCACCAGTCCCTGGGAAGGAGTTGTCTCAGCTTGAAGGACCACCAGGAATATTCATGGGGAGAAGGGAAATTATGTGAGGACAAGTATTCAGAGCGGTCAGACTGCCAGGGATGGAGAGCAACCTCCTCCACTGGCCACCACCCTCTCGTGCCAGGTGAGGAAGCAGCACCCCTTGGATAATATCATGGTACTCCGCATGTCTGGGATATCTGAGTGCTGTCCTCCACTCTGCTGCTGCCCTGGGCATGTCACTTAGGCCTGGATTCTCCAAGGTCTTGATGTGCTTAAATAGGAGTCTGTGCTGAAAAGTCAGTAAGTGCCAACCCAAGGCCCTGGGAGCATGGCTCTCTCCTCTCTGCAGAGGCTGTCCTGATTCTTGTTGCTTTCCAGCTACCATTACTGGTCTGGTTAGATCAGTGAGGCCCCATGTCACGGAGGAGGTAACTAACAGAAGCAAAGCATAAGCTAAAGCCACCATCTGCCTGCTGTCCCCTTGCCGCCAGTCCCTGCTAGTGGTTTTTTGTACAAACGCTCTTCGGTGCACACACGATACTAGTCTTTCACCTCCTCTGCAAGGCAGAGCTGTTCCATGGCAGGCTGCCTTGGTACAGCAATTGCCACCAGCATCAAGGGCTTCTAGAAAAGACCCGTACCTCAGCCACTTGCAGGGACTGGAGGCAAGGGGCCCAATTCCAGCATCACTTGAGCCACAGCTTTGTCTGCAACAGAATTCCTCCAGCGTAGCTGAGTTCAGAACTTAACCTTGCATGTACTGATCTTCTCAGCTGAGTGAAGGACCGCGATTTCTAATCTGAAAAATAGCTAGCTAGATAGTGCCTTTCAGTCTTAGTGCTTCTGGACCTGTTGAGAGTCAAGTTAGCCTTGTCTTGTTAGCCTCCAGGCCTCCCTTGGGAAAGGCCAGCTCTTAGCTTTTTACTCAGTATCTGCTGATAGAAACACACCAGAGCAATTCTTCTGGTGGAAAGAGCTCAGAAAGCCCATGACTTGGCAGCACGGTTTGGGCACTCTAGATACCTTTTTGATACCTCTGGGTTAATCATATGTAGATATCAGTGCAGCTACTGGTGCTAATAGGTTGGGGCACCCCTGTAAGGCTCACATTGCACCCTGAGTGAAGGTCACTGGTCTGTTTCTTAGTTATTCCAGTGCAGCTCCATTGATTTGGGCCCTGGATCTTCACACTCTTCCAGGAAGTGAGCCCATCTGCTGAAACTGCCCGTGGTTATTTTCAGGGAATAGTTTGATTTTTGGAAAAAGCTTGGCAGGACTGTTATGTCCGATTGCGGTGCCCTGCCTTAGGATGGTAATAATGACTGAGCATCTGGAAAACCCACCGCAGCAAGAGACTAATCTATGTAAAAGAGAAGGTTAAGAGAGTGAATTGGCCACAGGTTAGGAGCCAAAATTGTTCCATTTGGGCGGGTTGTGTGTGTGGAGTTCTTCCATGCCTGCGGTGGAGGGTGATGGAGCCCGACTAGACCGCTTACAAGAACAGAAGAGGTCAGGCAGCAGCTGGGACCAACCGTGTCTCACCCAGCACAGCCAGCTGGGGGCTTTCAGCTCTGTTGGAGCCAAGTTGGGCTTTGAAGGCAAAAGGGCGGATTCCACGTCCCCGCAGCGTGGGCTGCCGTCAGCCGGGCCCTGGGCGAGATCCTCGTCTCAGCCGCACGGTGATAAAGGTGAACCTGCCTCCGGCAGGGGTTGGACTAGACGGCCTGCAAGTCCCTTCCAGCCTGGCCTCTGCCATGATCCTACGAAAGACGGGGAAGGCTCGGTGGCACAGCTCTCAATTTGCATTGGTGTCACTGACAATAGTTTCCCTTCCTCGGGTGTTTAAAACCTCCCTCAGAGCTACTCCATCCAGCCCTTTCTCCGAGTCTACAGGGGCTGTAGCGTCTGACCCGTCCATGCCGGGGCTGTGGAGCTGCTCCTGGCTACAGGACAGCAAAGAGAAGAGAGGCGAACAGGCTCCCTGGGATCCGTCCCAGCCCTCCTTGGCCAGGCGACAGTCGCTGGTTGCCTGGTGCCCGATCCACCACGTCTCGGAAAAAGATGCGCGAGGCTCCAGCGTTTGCGGTTGCCGGTGGAGGCCGGAGCCGCTGTTTCCGCCGGGAGCCCCCCGCCCCGGCAGCG